TCTGGATGTATATGCAAAAGTGAGCTGATGGTACAGATTGTGCTTCTAGGACAGATCGGATACTGATGACGGATAGAGGTGGGTACTCAAGTAAAAGTAGAGTTACTTCATAATATTTTCTCTCATGAATAAGTGAAAAAGTATGGAGGACAAACTCTGCCATATTTAAAAATAAATACAGAAATAAATAAATGCTCAATAAATATATAAGCATACAATTAATTGCCAACAAAAATACAATAAACAAATAAATATAAGTAGAAAATAAATTATACAGTGAGACATAAATGTATATAAATTTTAATTAGCTTCTTTATTTATTTGCCTTTGTAATATTTACCTTATTTATTTTTTTGTCCTTTATTTTTTTTTTATATTTCTGCCTCCCCTTTCTACATTTCTGCCTACCCTCATTTCTGCCTTCCCTTTTTACATTTCTGCCTGCCCTCATTTCTGCCTTCCCTTTTTACATTTCTGCCTGCCCTTTTTACATTTCTGCCTTCCCTTTTTACATTTCTGTATGCATTTCTGTCTCATTATGCAAATGAGGAGGGGGTGTGTCCTAAAGAGTCAACTTATGCCCATTGGTTGGCGGTCCATCTTCTTAACTGACTGAGCTCAGAGTACTAAGTTAAAAAATAAATAAGGTAAATATTACAAAGGCAAATAAATAAAGAAGCTAATTAAAAGTTATATACATTTATGTCTCACTCTATAATTTAATTTCTACTTACATTTATTTGTTTATCATTTTTTTTAGCAGTTAATTGTATGCTTATATATTTATTGAGCATTTATTTATTTCTGTATTTATTTTTAAATATGGCAGAGTTGGTCCTCCATACTCTTCTTCATCAGATGAAGTTAATCTTGATGGTTAGGGCAGCCAGATCATATTTTCACTCAAGTAAAGTTCAAAAGTAAAAAAAATACAAGAAAAAACCCTACTTGTTCAAGTACATCTTTCTCCAAAAGTAATTTAATCAAATGTAACTAAGAACATGTAGATTATTACTACCTACCTCTGGTGATGGATCGGATCCTCTCAAGTTATATCTCAAATTAAGCTAATACTGGGGTTAAAAGTTACTATCTTAACTCTAAGCTACCAGAGAAAAAACATGCCATAGGGCCAAGGACCCTGATATTACACAATGGATCTATAAGTGGGATTAAACATTTCTGTAACAGGAAAAACACAGAGGTGTTGATTTATAACCCTTTGAACTGTGGCCTGGTGTCTAATGTATCAGACATCCTTCCATAGATCATGAAAAAACGCCAGACCTTGGAAAAACTCATCATACAAGCTGAAGCCTGATTATTACTACCTACCTCTCGTGATGGATCGGATCATCTCAAATTACATCTCAAATTAAGCTAATACTGGGGTTAAAAGTTACTAGGTTGCTTTAAAAAAGGTAAAAAAAAAAAACATGTGCAAAAGTAAAATATTAATTTCAACATAAATGTATGTATGAATAATGTCTAGCTTAATTATATTAAAAACATGCAGTATCAATCAATTCAGTAAAAAAAAAAAGCAAACAAAGTAAATGCATGCATCAGTCTAACCATTTGACCTACCTAATTTTGTTTTGGGTCACAGAGCATGGAGCTAATTGCAGCAGAGTGTGAACATGCATAAACCTAGGTGTTGATTGCTTGACCTACTCAGACTCACAGGCGCAAAGATTCACAGCATCCAATTAAATAAGTTGCATGTGTTTGTGGGCTGTATATTTGAAGTATTCTAAAGGTTTTTGTGGTTTTCTTGCAAGTAGAGATCAACACCCCCACCTACATGGAGCCAGACATCATTATAGGTTGTGAACAGTTTAGGTCTGTCTTCATCATGATTGGAAGCCTGGTTTTTCTCATTGTGTTGGGTAAATATTTTTCTATTTTCTTTCAAAATCAATGAGATTTTTCATTGATAAATACAGAAACACAAAATGTATTTTGGTTTGGTCCCTCTGCCTGTATGCCTTAGTCATTTTTTTTTTTTTTTGAGAATAAATGCAGTTAGTAGATTTTTATCTTAAATTGTATTCTAAAATGTTTCTATGTGGTAGGACATTTATATATTTCATTCTATATAAATGAGGAATATAGTAAATTTTCTAACTTGATTTTTAAACAGGCTCTTTTCACGAGGCACAAGCACAAGGTTAGTGTCTGATGATTCTCATATTTAACCATGTTATGACTATTGAAATCTCCTAAAACCTTAAATAGGTTCAGAAAAGAATGTATGTCTTTTTAATAAGAGATAGGAAAATAAATGGACATTGAAAATGTTACATTCTTAATGAAAAAATGAAATATTAAACCTCTGTCTGTATTTCAGCTCTTCCTCAGGCAAAACTAGCAGTGAATTCATCAAGAATCAAAGAAACAGAATTAGTCAAATTAAGCTGTGAGGCTCCAGATTATGTTTCTGTGTATCAGTGTACTTTCTATGTGAATGGAGGAATTCAGAGACCTTTCCCCTGCACAAAGACATTTACAGGAACTGACCTACTTTCTGCAAGAACGCAAATTTCATCCTCCGTGGTTGGGGTCAAATGTTATTACATTGTTAAAGATGGGGCCTTAGCTCGTCCATCTCCCCACAGCGATATATCCTACATCACTATAGGTAAGTGATTGCCCCATGATAAAACAAGCTCACATTAAGTTTTATTTATTTAAAAAGTCATCAAAATTTAACAGCATAAAGAAAAGATCTGATTTACTATTTTGGATCTAATGTTTTGGTTTATTTAATAAAATCTTTTTACTACTTTGACATTTATAACATTTCTCACTTTGCCTTTTCATGCAAATTATTTCTTTTTTAGGTCTAAAACCACAGTTAAACTCACACTATGTTAAGGGTCAGTATGCTACCTTTACCTGCTCTCTGCCTGGATATGTGGAACATGATACCACATGTAACCTGTACTTTGGAGAATTTAATCATCCAGTTAAAATAACAACTGTAAGGAAGTACTCAGGAAAAAATGAGTGGTACTGCTGGTTTGATATTCCAGAAGATGAATTAAGGAGACATCTTAGTTTAGTTCAACAGAAGGAGGTCAGCTGTGATTACACTTTGGAGAGTGCCAGGAATTCAACAACTCGTAGTGATCCATACTCCCTCACAGGTGAGTTGAACATAACATGGATACACTAAATACTGCAGTAAAAAATATGTTTAATAACTCCTAATTTTTTCAAATAAACACAATCACTTTTATATACCCCATAGGTCTAGTATGGTTTCTGCCCCTAGATGTAAGCAGATAATTTACTACTGCAAGTTCTTAGGTGGGGGCTGCTCAGTGCTGCAGTGGGTAGCACTGCTGTCTTGCAGCAAGATGGTCGGGGTCTCGATTCCACAATCCAAAAACATGACTGTTAGGTTAATTGGCTTCCAAAATTGTGTTGGTGAATGGTTGTTTGTCCTGTTTGTCTCTGTTTTGCCCTGCGATGGACTGGCGACCTGTCCAAGGTGTACCTCGCCTCTTGCCTGTAGACAGCTGGAGATAGGCACACCTTGCAACCCCACTTGGGATTACAGGTGTTGGACGATGGATGGATGGAAGTTCTTAGGTTGAGACTCCAGAGTCAGTGTTGTTTATAAAGCATATTCTATAGATGCTGCATTAATTCAGTTTATTTCAGTTTATTAATATAGAACCATTTCACAACACATGTCATCTCAAGGAACTTTACAATTCAACCAGATCTTACAGTATAATTGATTCAGTTTTCTAAGGAAAACCAGTTGATTGCATCGTCCTATTGACTCGAAGGCAATACCTCAGACCAAACATTAATAAATTGTGAATTTGGAGTCAAAGTCCTCCCTTCAAACATGTTGTTAAATCAATCCTCAACCATTTTTGATTTTTAGGTAATACAGCTCTAACTATGCAGCCATTTATGCAGTTGTGCTGTTCTGACAGCTTTGGATCAGTACCAACATTAACTTCGACAGTGTTTTCAGTGTTTTGACTGTTTGATCAGACTAAATGGACCAGCTTTAACTCTTATTATGCATCTATGAGCTTTGACCACTCCTTGCCCTTTCCATGATGCATCATTGTTGCTTTGAGATGCTCTGCCCACTCATGTTAAACTTTTACACCTACATTTCTCTGTTTAATCATGTTGTTTGACATTTTTTCTGTTTTATTTTTATTTTTTTACATAAGACTTAACATAGGATTCTCCTTTTAGGAACACCTAAAACTAACAAAATATCTGTTTTATTTTTGTAGGTATTTGGGAAGGAATGTCAGCTGATATCACCTTAATAGGAACACCCTGGTAAAAAAAAAATGTGCTTTATTGTATTTCAAGTATATTCATATTTCCTATAGTTTACTGAAAATGTACTTAGACAAATTGTACTTTTTGTAAATATATAAAAAGTATACTAACATTACGCTTTCATGCTAATACTTTTAACACACTTTAACATAATTACACTATGTTACACTTTATAGAAATATATTATTAAAAAAGTATACTTTAAGTGAAAGTTATGTGTAATTTCTAAAGTGTACTTATTTTAAATTTGTTTTTACATATATTTTTGCTATATTTTAAATTGTATGCTCAAAGTTGTCATTGTAACGTACATTGAAAGCATATTTTAAAAGTACACATTTTAATATCGACACTGTAATATTAAGTTTGAGTGCATTTTAAGTTACATTTGAATCTAATTATGAAGTGAAGTTATATACGCTTGTACTTCAGGTAATTCTTTTGGAAAGTGTTCAATAGTATAACTACAAAAATGCACTTAAACCCTATTATGCAATTTTGTGCTGTGTGTAAAGTACACAGATAGCAATTATTGCAGTTGTTATGTAATGTTTAATAAGTTTTGAAAAAGAAATATGATACAATACATCTTACACACAAAACCACATTGAACAAAACACTAAATGTTCACTTCAAAAGTACAGGTGCACAAAATTGTGTGTTCTGCTGAAAAGCAAGTGGTTTAAAGCTGGTGCAGTGCTACATTATGATCTAACAAATAGCATAACCCACATTGCAACAGAAAAGTTAATACTGGCCAAATGCAAAAGAAATAAACTTAACACATTACAATTGTCTCAAGTGTTCAAAAAAGAACATTTCATTAGTATTGTTTAATGGATCAAAGCAGGGCTACTGCAAACAAGACCAATTGGTGAGTGCACATATTTAAAAGTCGCTGACAGCACTTCATGCATATAGGAGTGATATGTGGAGGTTGTTTGGCCTTGATGTCTGTAAAGTAGTAGCTCCCCAAGAATTTTAGTCTTGGGGAGTTTTTGGTTCAGTACTGATATCAGAATTCCCATAGACTTTGAATGCACCACACCTGCACAGCAGTTAGTCACGGCTCCTCCCTGCTCAGAGCTAGCGTGCTTTTCTTTTAAGGCCTTGGTCTGCATGGAGAGAGGTAACTTTCAAAACATTCCCATTTGGTTTTGAAATCTTAAGATATCTGTATAAAACGCGATTTTGATTATTATATTTGTATTGTAGAAACAGGAGATGTAATCGGTTGAGCAGGAAGATTTGCTGTATTATTGTGTTGAAGAATATCCTGGTGAGTTCACATGAACCTGTGAATGAAATATATATATTTTTTGAGATGTAAAACCAGTCAGGATATAATGTTTTGTAATATATGTAATTTTACTAGCTCTTTTGATTTATTGAATGCATTAGCACAGTGAGAAGGAGGCTAACACACCCCCCATGTGCTCTTCTAAAAAAGAAAATGCACTTTCAAGCTAGCTACATCTTGTGTGATGTTGCTGTAAAACCCCCACAAGGGGTTAACGTAAAATTAACCCTTCATAGGTGTCCTGGATTGTTTTTTCCAGATACAAGTATTGACTACTGACCATAATGATTTCTTAGACAGTGAACCACATGTAAATTGATAATTTTACTTTATATTTTTGTCTGTATAAATGTGGTAAAAACCAATTTATATTATGGTGATTACATGATTTATTTTCCAATTGAAGTAATTGCTCTGCACATTTGTGTGCAGGCTGTTTTTTTTTTTACATAGTTGCAGAATCTGCTGTTACAGCTGAGCGGTTCATTGTATGGACTGGACTAGACTCCACCAGAGATGTTGATGCAGAATGTTCCCAATGTGAATGCCATCCGGTTCCCTGGAGGGTGGTAGGAAAAACAAGGAAACTTAAGGATTTTTCTTCCCTTTCTTTCTGCGGATTCATAATTTTTTTCTTTTCTGAGATCTCTGACAATTTTTGTTGTTACTTTGTTTAATTTTTTTGATCAGATCTGATAAAACCACTTGATGCATCAGATTTATTTAAATTCAACTGAAATGGACAATTTTTTTTTCTGGTGCACTTATGGACCCTGGTATATCATACTGATACAATTTGTCAGACTTTTCTGATGTACTGCTCAAAAATACTATGAATTTACAGTATCTCTCTGTTTGGTTAACAGACGCTGTTCTTCTGGAGTTTCCGTAGACAAGTGTCTCTGATGTGCGCACGGCCATCAGACGAAAATGTAACAATGAGCAGTTCAGCCAAAAAAAGGAAAATAATGTGTGGTGGGCGTGTTTTTGTATGGTGCGAGGGTTTAGGGGTGCAATAATAAGGAATGTTGTTTTTCATTGTTCAGTATTCCTCTGCGTTCTTTAAAGTTTATTTGTAATGTTTAGGTCTGCTGCCTGAAATTGACATATTTCTACAAAGTGTACTAAAGTACCAATATTTGAAAATGTGTTGTAAGTTTTATAATGAAAATGGTTAACGTCGATATGTAAATGTTTATACATTCTGAGATAGTACAAGTTATATTATTTGTAATGTACTATAATTTGGACATGTTTCAAATACATTAAAGTATATTTTTTCATCTGCACGGAAGTATATCCACAAGTCTTTCAGCATTTAGTATACTGTTAATACATTTGCAAGAATGTGCAAGGTAGAAAGTAGTATAGCAATGTAATGATAAAGTATATTTACTATTAACTGCAAAGTATGCTTTTTTAGTAATTGGAATAAGCCAACAGTATAATTAAGCATATTATTACCACAGTAAGAGTATATTAAAAGTATAAAGCTTATATATTTTTAAGACACTAACAAATCATTTTTAATGTAGTTATAATACAACCATAGTGCACTTTAATTTGACTAATTAAGCATATATTAGTACATATAAACTCATATACTTAAAGTATACAAAATATACTTTAAGTTGTTCCACTTTAGCACATCAAAGTACACTAAATACACTTCAAGTTGAGCTTGTCCACAATTTAATTACAATTAAAATATATTTAGTACAAAATTAGTTGTTCCAAAATAGCATCCTTCAAGTTAACTAATCATAAACACACTTAAAGTATAGTAATGATTAGTGTGCCTTCAAGTACACAAAAGTATGCTAAATTTTAGTACACTTAGCACATTTATTTTTCAGCAGGGCAAGATTAATGAAAACCACTGTGTTTCCTATCCAGGGTAATTGTACTGCTTTTATCAGAATTTTTTTGGATAAATTTTTATGTTAAATCAACCAGTGACCATTTAGATATACTACTTTTCAAGGTGAATTGTAGGAATTTTTTATTCCACTACTTTTTCATCCACTAGACATTTGGATATAGTGTAAATAGTGTATTAGCTATATAATGCTCTAAGGGTTAGGATGCACATTTGGAGTCTTTGTGTTTCTTAAATATGAGCCACAGGACATGCCAAAGAGGACTGTAGCCCCCAAAGTTTCTCTAGAGGTTGTTAGAGGTTTTTAGCGGCAGAAAGACAGTAGTACAACATTCAAATCATTGGACACCTTGACGCTTACAATCCTACAGTAGAATAAAAGAAAACATGACTGAAAACACGTCCAATCAGTCTGCAGGAATACTTCCCATTTCTCATTTAGCTTAGTTTAAAGTGTTAAAAATACTATAATATTAAATTATTGTGGGGGTGGGGGGGGGGGTGCCACTGCTGCTGTTTGAACAAGTATATTTTTACTAATTTACCTTTAATCATTTTTATAGTTAATATCTATTATTTTCAAACACATTGCTTCATTACACCTGCTTTAGTCTTCTGAAGACACTTATGATATTGAAAGGTATTGATAAATTATTATTATTTTTTTAGCTTAAAATATGAATTCATATTATTAGACTTTAGAAGTATTTATTTATTTATCAGCATATTTATTTTTACAAATACTGATAAATGAAAAAGTTTAACTGAAAATACTACTTAGCATCAAATGTCCTTTGAGCTTGTGTTTTAGACTTTACAATCAACACATTAACAGCACTGCTTTGGTGGTAATTCCACTAACTCTGAAGAAAACACTCTGTATTTCATTTTTCCAATTTTTTGAGTTCAGTCTTTGTGGATCAGTGAAGGAGCTGTTTTTAATTTATAAATCAACCCATTTATAGTGGCTTCAAATATACTATGTAAAATGTATTAATTTATCATTTTTAATCGTCTTTCTTCTATTTTCCGAAAATTCCGAAAAAAGTCTTTGATACATTGTGATACATAATTTTTTGTGTTTAGGTAAAACTGTGCCAACAAAGAGTATTACCAGTGTTACCACTTCTACCAAATCAGGTAGGAATATCTACGAATGTGTATTAATCAGTAATAACATGCAAATTATAATAAATGCTATAAATTAAGGTATAAGATTGCAAAGGATGAAAATATATACTTTTATCTATTTACTTGAACTTGAAAGTTAATATTTTAAAAAAATCACATTTTGAGAGGCATATTTTGCAATGTAATCTAACCTGCCTATGTCATGATTGGTTTAATATCAAACCCACATGCAGAACACAACGGAGGCTTGGTAAAAGTTTAACAGAGTTTATTAAAGATGTTGACACACAAAATCATGAACTGGATCTGGAACAGGTCCGGGTTGGGTTCACAGAAGTCTGCAGAGATGATAGTTTGATTAGCTGGCAGGCAGATGATTAATGAGTCCTTAGATAGTTCTGATTCTACCTTGACGGGGTCCAGACTTCTCTTTGTGAGAGAGGGAACCGTTGGGTCCAGAGACTGTTGGTTCAGCAGAGTACACAAGCAGCTACAGCGTCTAGCTTCTGACTTTGAATGGCAGACCTTAATCAGAGTTTCCAGCTCTTCACAGAGAGCAGCAGGGAAAATCCAAATAGGAATCTTCAGGTTTGGCTCACCAGGGCTGGAAGGCAGGTTAATCTCACCCAGAGCTTTCAGGCTTGAGACAGGTTTCCTGTGAAAAAAAACAGAGGAGAGTTAGAATCAGTTCTCTCACTTGAGACAACTAAGATTCTTTCAGGTATCAGAGGCTCAGGTTGCTAACCAAACTAAGGTCAACACTGCGGCGTCGAAGGAAGGTCTGGCAGCTGCTTATAAAGGGAAGGTCTCCTAATGAGAAGATGCGTCTCAGGTGTGCTGGAGGGCTCCAGCCCCAGGAGACCCCACGGCGCACTCTGCTGGAGGAAGGTGGTACATCCCCAGATTCCAACAGTACCCCCCTCTCAACGACCGCCTCTTGGCGTTCCCGAGGATGTCGACGGGAGGGAGCTCTCATATTCCTCGATCAAAGACGGATTGAGGATGTATGAACCAGGAACCCATGTGCGGTCCTCCGGACCGTAGCCCTCCCAATCGACGAGGTACTGCCAACCGCGACCTCGCCGACGGGAGTCCACGATCCGGCAAACAGTGAAGGCCAGGGAGCTAGAAATGACAGATTTGATTTGGGAGACATGGAACGTGGGATGGATGCGAAGACTCGGTGGCAGGTGCAGACGGACAGCAGAGGGGTTGATAATCTGGGCTACTTTATATGGGCCGATGAACTGGGGTGACAGTTTCTTGGACATGGCTTTGAGGGGAATGTCTCGTGTTGACAGCCATACCTCTTGGCCTACGGTGTAGTCATGGGCAGGACGTCTCTTGGAGTCAGTGAAGCATTTAGTGGAGGCAGATGAGCGGTTGAGGGTGGTGATGGTGTCTTTCCAGATTCGCTGACAACGACGGATGTGGTGATGGACTGATCGGACTGACATACCTCTGGAAATCGGGAGACCAGTGACAAAATCTACTGCGATATGTGACCAAGGACGGGTTGGAACAGGTAGAGGATGCAGCAGGCCAGAAGGTGGTTGATGAGAGGTCTTGTTTCTGGCGCAGATGGGACATGCCAAAACGTACTCCTTAACGTCTTTGTGTAGTGATGGCCACCAGAAACGTCTTGTAATGAGGGAAATGGTTCTGCTCACTCCAGGATGGGCGGAAAATTTAGCTGCATGCATCCACTGGATCAGTCGGGATCTGACGGAAGATGGAACATAAGTTTTATTTGGAGGGCCGTTACCTGGGTCAGGTTCAGAGGCTAGGGCAGAGTTGATGAGATCAGTGATCTCCCAGGAAACGACTCCAACAGTACAGGAGGCAGGAAGAACAGGCTCGGGTGTCTCAGGTTGATCAGTGGAGTACGGACGAGAGAGAGAATCGGGCTTGACGTTCTTGGAACCAGGTCTGTAAGAGATAATGAGATCTAAACGGGAAAACAATAATGACCATCTAGAGTGACGTGGATTGGATTGTTTTGCTGATTGGAGATAAGCCAGGTTTTTGTGGTCTGTCCAGACCAATACTGGATGCTTGGCCCCCTCGAGCCAGTGTCTCCATTCCTCCAGGGCGAGTTTGATGGCAAGAAGTTCTCGGTCTCCAACATCATAATTTTGCTCCGCTGGTGAGAGTCTACGTGAAAAAAAAGCACAGGGGTGAGTCTTTTGGTCTGAGTCAGATTGCTGAGATAAAACAGCTCCTACACCGGAGTCAGATGCATCCACCTCTAAGATAAACTGCTTAGAGGGATCTGGCTGGATAAGGATGGGTGCTCTGGAAAACAGGTTCTTTAATTTATCAAAAGCGTTCTGGGCTTCAGGTGTCCATTGAAAGGTCTTCTTCACAGAAGTCAGAGTTGTGAGAGGTAGAGCTGTTTGACTATAATTTCTTATGAAGCATCTGTAAAAGTTTGCAAACCCAAGAAATCTCTGAAGCTGTTTGCGGTTTTCAGGTGTCGGCCAGTCCAGAACTGCCTTTATCTTGTCTTTGGATGGCTTCACCTGCCCGCCCTCGAGCACAAACCCTAAAAAAGTGACAGATGGTTGGTGAAATTCACATTTTTCTGCCTTCACAAAGAGTTTGTTTTCCAAAAGTCTCTGAAGAACTGGACGAACATGTTTCTTGTGGTCTGAGAGGTTCTTGGAGTAGATCAAAATATCATCGATGTACACAAAAACGAATACGTTCAAAAAATCTCTGAGGACGTCATTGACTAGAGCTTGAAAGCAAGCAGGAGCATTTGTGAGGCCAAAAGGCATGACCAAATATTCAAATTGGCCTAAGGGGGTCTTAAAGGCTGTCTTCCATTCGTCTCCTTCTCTTATCCTAAGGAGGTGATAAGTGTTTCTCAAATCGATTTTAGTGAAAACTTTTGCTCCCTGAACAGGTTCAAATGCTGATGCCAGTAATGGTAGGGGGTACTTATTCT